GCTGTCCCTCAGCTCTTCAGCTCAAGGCTAGCATTCTACCACTTGAGTGTGGCAGAACTTTTAAGAGCTAGAACCTATGCCGGCTCTGGTGGCTCATGCCTTTGATCCTAGAGACTTGGGAGGCTGAGATCTGATCAAAGAAGCAGCCCAGGCAGAAAGTCCCTAACACTCTTATCTCCAATGAACCACTAAAAAGCCAGAAGTGTGAGGGAAGGAGGGCCACTGTCCAAAATGAAATGTACTCATTACCTGACTTACGTAACTGTAATCCTCCATAGATTGATTTATTTTTTGCCAGGCCTGGGGCTTGAACTCAGGGCCTGGGCACTGTCCCTGAGCTCCTTTTGCTCTAGATGAGCACTCTACCACTTGAGCCACAATGCCACTTCTGGCTTTTCCTGTGATTAATTGGAGATAAGAGTCTTATGGGCTTCCTGCCCAGGCTGGCTTTGAACTTTGATCCTCACATCTTAGTCTCTTGACTAGTTAGGATAACAGGTATGAGCCACTGGTATCTGGCTTGCATATCATCTTTATTGTAACAATAAAACACTGGCTGGGAATGTGTCTTAGTGGTAGAGTGCTTGTCTAGCATGCATGAAGCCCTGGGTTCCATTCCTCAGTACCACAGACACAGAAAAGGCTGGAAGTGGCACTTGTAAAATTTTCCTAAAGAGGGTAGTGTGGGAAAGGAGAAGGGACAACATCTGTGGGAGACACAGAAATGAAGGTGGGTGGGGTCAAAAGGCCACAAAACCCACTGGCCACATCAGGGCTGCAGGGGCAGGCAGTGCTGTGGCTCCAGCTACCGGGAACTCAGAGGTAGGAGTCTCCTCGGTCCAGGCTGGCCTGGGGCAAACATGTGAGCGCCTATTTAAAATACAACTAAAGCACACAAACTTAAGCAAAAAAGGTTGTGGGAGCGGCACGGGTGGTAGACCACCTGGCTAACAAGGGAAAAGCCTTGGGTTCTTTTCTTTTGTCCAAGACCAGGACTCAAACTCAGTACTTGATGATTTTGCTCATCGGCTAGTACTCTATGAATAGAGCCACGCCTCCAGACCCAAGCCCTGGATTCAAACTCCAGAACCCCTCCCAATTCATCTTTGTAAATAAGCAAGATAGAAAGTACTTTCCCCAGATCATCTTTATGTAATAGAAAAAGGTAAAGGGCAACTTTGAAGCCAGGTGCTGGTGGCTCATACCAGTAATCCTACTACTGGGGGGGAGAGGGTGGGAGGAAGAGTGGTTGGTGATCAGGAGGATCAAAGTTCAAAGCCAACTCATGCAAAAAAGTTAGAGATCCTGTCTCAGCCAATAACTGTGCGTGGTGGCAAGAACCTGTCATCCCAGATACCTGGAAAAACAGGAAGAAAAAATAGGATGATGGTGGTCCAGGCCACTCCCAGCATTAAAAAAAAAGTCTGCTGGGCGCTGGTGGCTCATGCCCATCATCCTAGCTACTCAGGAGGCTGAGATCTGAGGATCATAGTTGACAGCCAGCCCTGGCAGGAAAGTCCATGAGACTCTTATCCCCAAAGAACCACCAGAAAACCGGAAGCGGCGCTGTGGCTCAAGTGGTAGAGCACTCGCCATGAGCTGGAGAGCTGAGGGACAGCGCTCAGGCCCAGGGTTCAAGCCCCGCGACCAACACACATACACACACAGAGTCAGATCCTAACTCATAAGTAACTAAAGCAAAAAAGTGCTTAGTGTTCAAGTAAGCAAAGTGTCTGCAAAGCAAGTGTGAGGCTCCGAGTTCAACTTCCAGTCCCACTGAAGACTAGAAACAAACATTTCTGTTCCCCCTTCTCTCCACCTACATTTCAAGTGTCTCAAAGTGCACGTGTTACCCCCCCCCCCCCGCCGCCCCGTGTGGCTTCCTCATGGAATGCTGCTCTAGACACTGGAACCTGGGTGCTCAGCGGACGGCCTGGGGTCGGGAGCGGGGGCAGTGAGACCAAGTGTGCTGAGGAATCACGACAGGGAGTGAGTGCACCTGTGTGAACGGGCTGAAGAGCCTGGGGCACGGGCACCGGCATGGGGCACAGGGCCGGCTCAGGTCTACTCACCCCACTGCTTACTGTACTCAAAGGGTCGACCATCTCGCTGGACCCCTCGAACTCAGCCCCTCTCGATTCCAGTGGGCTCATGAGCTCTGGTGAGAGCTCCAGCTCTTGGGAAATGTCAGGAAGGGATTCGGGTCTCACTTTTCCAGACATTTCCTCGGAAATGAATTCTGGGTAGGGCGGCTCAGAATATCTGGCTGGCTCTTCTTCCATATAGCCATAAAATACCTGTTTGTCCTCCTCTGCCCCCAAGAATTCCATCTCTCCCCCCATCTCTCCTTCGATCATCTCCCCTTCCATCTCTCCTTCCGTTTCGCCTTCAGTTCTCTCTTCAGTCTCCCCTTCAGTCTCTCCTTCGATCTCCCCTTCGATCTCTCCTTCGATCTCCCCTTCAGTCTCCCCTTCCATCTCTCCTTCGATCTCCCCTTCGATCTCCCCTTCGATCTCTCCTTCGATCTCTCCTTCCATCTCTCCTTCCATCTCTCCTTCCATCTCGCCTTCCAGTTCCACTTCCGTCTCCTCTTCCATCCCGCCTCTGGTCCCTCCTGCGTCTTCTCTCAGGTCTTGGTCTTCCGCTTCCCCTTCGGGCCACTCAGAAGCACCTGCAGGGTCTTCAGCTGCGCTGCTCTTCCCCGCCGCTGGCGCCTGGAATGGGTGGCCAGGAAACCCAGGACACGTGACAAAGGACCCATGACCCCTCCCCCCTCACTGAGACGTGGTGGCGGGCCTTATCTAGACTCTGTTTTCCACAGTCCTGTTGCACGCTTTGTTTTAGCACTGTGTTCTGGAGAACTCAGGGTGCTCTACGAGCGGGACACCCGGCCGCTCCTGACGCCAGGCAGCGGGGACCTTGGTTTCTCGGTATCTGAAGTGAGTCTGTCTCAATGCAAGGCAAAAGGGTGATCGCCCCTCTGACCCGAGTCCTAGCTCTGCCTGCCTCCTACCAAACCCGAACCACCACAGCTCCCCAAGTGGGTATCTTACCACATCCTCCTCTTCTTCCTCAGGAGTCGATCTGCCTTCCAGGGGAGACCTGTTTTCAGAGAAAGCTGTGCAGTGGGTGCTGGTGCCCCCGGGTCTTCCCCTCCCCCACACCGTGCCCTCTCTGCCTCCGCTCAGCTGCCAGCCAAGACTTCCTCCTGTCACCCACTACAACCTGCCTGTCAGGGGGCCCAAAGTGCCCTAAGTTTGCTCCAACCATGAATGAAAAACCCAGTGGTGGAAACAGTAAAATGCAACAAGAGGAGGTCTCCTGTGCTATACCCGGCCCGTCTGGACGGGAGCAGAGACGATCCACAGCAGGGACGAGCTCCCGGCTTCCTTCGCTTCTCAGCCACGGCATCAAGACGATCTGTTCTTCTTTAATTCTGGGCTTGAACTCAGGGCCTGGTGCCTGTGCTCAAGGCTAAGTGCTCTACCATTTGAGCCACAACACTACTTCTGGCTTTCTCGGAGTAGTTTATTGAAGATAAGAACCTCTTATTTTGATTGTTTTGGTTCGCCAGTATCTAATTAGACAATCATATTTTCTTAATTTTTAATTAAATATAGCACTTTAGGACACTAATTGGAACCTTTGTGATTACACCAAAGATTTGTATGAAAATGGCTCTGTATCCAAAATGGCTCTGTATCCACATCCTTGGGAAACAGACATTAGACAGCAAAAAAGACCTTGACATAAACCCTTAAGTGATTGTTTTGGTTCCCAAGGGGCCTGTGGTTTGAGCCTATGATCCTAGCTAATCAGGAGGATGAGATCTGAGGATTGAAATGAGAAGCTAGCCCAGGCAGAAAAGTCTATGAGACTTATCTCCAATTAACTAAAAAGCTAGAAGAGAAGCAGTGGTTCAAGTGGTAGAGCATCAGCCTTGAGTGGGAAAAGATAAGGGACATGCCCTGAGTTCAAGCCTCACTACCAGCACAAGAAAAAACTTTTTTGGTCTATTAAAGATATTAACTAAGGGGATGGGAAGGTGGCTCAGTGGTAGAGTGCTTGCCTTGCATCCATGAGGCCCTGGGTTTGATTCCTCAGCACCACATAAGTAGAAAAAGTCAGAGTGGCGCTGTGGCTCAAGTGGTAAAGAGCTAGCCTTGAGCTGAACAGCTGAGGGCCAGCACCCAGGCCCGGAGTTCAAGCCCCACAACCAACAACAACAAGAAGAAAAACACAAAGATACCAACTAAGATACGGCTTCTCCTTTGGCATGTTTAATTGTGATGTTCAACAGATATCCCTGCAGTTTAAGACAATACTTATTAAATAAAATTCTCTGTTGGGTGCCGGTGTCTCACACCTGTAATCCTAGCTACTTCAGGAGGTTGAGATCTGAGGATCATAGTTTGAAGCCAGCCTGGGTAGGAAAGTCTGGGAGCTCAGGAACAGAGCCCAACTCCAGAATTCAAGCATCAGAACTGGCAAAATAAACGAATAAAAAAAATTCTCTCCTCATGATGACTTGAGCCCTGTCACTTTGTGGCGGAATCAGCAGGTCTTGTAGGATCTTATTCAGAACTGATATTCTCTATTTAATTTTGTTCATATATTTTTAAATTTTATTTTGATTGGAAAGGAAAAATGATGCTTAGTTTTAAGCATTAAAAGTGTACAAGAGAAGGTGGCTCAGTGGTAGAGCGCTTGCCTTGCATGCCTGAGGCCCTGGATTCCATTTCTCAGCACCACATAAGCAGAAAAAGCCTGAAGTGGTGCTGTGACTCAAATGGTAGAATGCTAGCCTTGAGCTGAAGAGCTGAGGGACAGCGCCCAGGCCCAGAGTTCAAGACCCATGACCAACAAAAAAAAATTACAAAGTGTACAAGATGCTTTGTTACAATAAAACGAAATGTATATACTATATATGCATATATGTTTTCTTTAAAAAATCAAACTAATGTGCTTCACAGACAATGGAAACCTTGTGATTTCCCTCGCCTTCCAAGGCAACCACGTGTCACAGCCAGAAATGGAAGGTACACTCGGATTCATTCTGGTCCTTCCAGTCACTGCCTCTGCTTGAAATTAGAAATCACACCATAGCCAGTGCTTTACCTTTACTCTTCCCGTGGCAGTACGTACAAATTGTGTGTGTGTGTGTGTCCACGTGTGTGTGGTGTGTGCTTGAACTCAAGCCTGGGCACGGTCCCAGGGCTTTTGTGCACAAGGCTGACGCTCTACCGCTTGAGCCACAGCTCCACTCTGGCCTTTTGGTGGTTCACTGAGAGCCTCACGGACTTTCCTGCCCGGGCTGGCTTTGAACCGCGATCCTCAGATCTCAGCCTCCTGAGCAGCTGGGATGACCAGCGTGCGCCCCGGCGCCGGGAGGGCTGGACTAAGCCTGGACACCCACACCCACACCCACACCCACGCCAGTCAGCACCCAGGCGTCTGCGGGACCTGGACACACACACACGCACACACATACACGCCCATCAGCACACGCCAGTCAGCACCCAGGCATCCGCGGGACCTGGACACACACACACGCACGCACACACACACGCCCGTCAGCACCCAGGCGTCCGCGGGACCTGGACACACACACACGCACGCACACACACGCCCGTCAGCACCCAGGCGTCCGCGGGACCTGGACACACACACACACACACGCACACACACACGCCCGTCAGCACCCAGGCGTCCGCGGGACCTGGACACACACACACGCACACACATACACGCCCATCAGCACACGCCAGTCAGCACCCAGGCATCCGCGGGACCTGGACACACACACA